AGCAAGTTAAGAAATATTAAGATACGTTCCTTACTGGAAGGTTACTATACTCAACAAGATATGTTCCATTCACAAGTTAAAGACAGTAATGCCATTACAGAAACCTCCTTCAAAATGGCTTGGTACATAGCTAAATCAAAAAGATATTTTACTGAAGGTGCTTCTTGGACCACAGGGAATCACTTTTTGCAGAATTTAAAGACAAAAAGATATAGTTAAACAAATATCAAAACTGCAAGTGTCTGATTCAACTGTAGTAAGATGAATTGAAAGTATTTCAGGCTATCTGTTTTCTAAACTGCTAAAACACATTGAAAGGACTGAGTATTTCAATCTGGCAATGGACCGATCTACTGATTGTTCAGACATATCTCAGCTCATAATCTGGGTGCGTTTTTCAATGGCAAAAAGTATGTTGAAGAAATGCTTATTCTGCTACCTTTGACAGGTCAAACTAGGAGAGAGGACTTTTATTCTGCACTGATGGAATTTTTTTGAAGGACCAGGAAAATGCATTGATTTGAGGAAGTTTACTTCCATAACAACTGATGGCACTCCTTCTATGGTTGGAAAAGAGAAGGAACTAATTTCTTTGTTGAAGAAAAATCCACAGTTTCCAGATTTCTTTTCATATCATTACATTCTGTACCAAGAACAGTTATGCAGAAAACTGAACAGAGGATTTCTCCAGAGAACAATGGATAGTGTGACAAAATTGTCAACTTCATTGTTGCAAATGCCTTGAAACAGACAATTCTGAGATTTAGATGAGGAGTACGAAACACAGAATGGTGACATGACAATGCTTGCAGCAGAAGAGCTGAGGAAAAATATTAGATTGGTTTATGGATCTACTGCCTGCTATACAAGTGGTTTTGGAGGCAAAAGATCACCAGGATTTACTGTTGTGTTTAGACGAAGAGACATGTGGCTTTTCTCACTGATATGACACGCCACTTAAATGCACTCAATCTGAAACTTCAAGGCAAAGAAAAAAAACTGCCTTCTCTCATGTACGATGTTTCTGCATTTGAAACAAAACTGGCCCTATTGCAGATCAGCTTCATGAGAAAGACTTGACTTACTTTCTCATCCTCAACTCGCAAGTGACACTGCTGAGTGTACATGCATCTTTTTTGCCTGATTTTTTTACAGAGTACATCTCAGAGCTGAAAACCGATTTTTTTCCCGCTTTCTAGTTGTCAAATCCCTGAAGACAATTCTTGAATTTACTGAAAATCCATTTTCAGTTGAGGAAAAGACAGTCTCACCTTCAGCAGTGAGATTTGGTGTTCATAGAATCACAGAATAATAGAGCTGGAAAAGACCCCAGAAGGTCATCAAGTCCAGCCCCCTGCTCTAGGCAGGACCAATCCCAACTAAATCAACCCAGCCAGGGCTTTGTCAAGCCGAGACTTAAACACCTCTAGGGATGTAGACTCCACTACTTCCCAAGGTAACCCATTCCAATGCTTCACCACTCTCCTAGTAAAATAGTTTTTCCTAATATCCAACCTGGACCTCTCCCACCACAACTTGAGACCAATGCTCCTTGTTCTGCCACCTGTCACTACTAAGAACCGTCTCTCTCCATCCTCTTTAGAACCTCCTTTTAGGAAGTTAAAGGCTGCTGTCAACTTTTCACTTCTGCAGACTAAACAGACCCAAGTCCCTCAGCCTCTCCTCACAGGTCATATGCTCCAGCCCCCTAATCATTTTGGTTGCCCTCCGCTGGCCCCTCTCCAATGCATCCACATCCTTTTTGTAGTTGGGGGCCCAGAACTGGACACAGTACTGCAGATGTGGCCTCACCAGAGCCTAATAAAGGGGAATAATGACATTTCTGGATCTGCTGGCAATGCTCCTCTTAATGCAACCTAATATGCCATTAGCCTTCTTGGCTACAAGGGAATACTGTTGACTCATATCCAGCTTCTCATCCACTGTAACCCCCAGGTCCTTTTCTGCAGAACTACTACTTAGCTGGTTGTTCCCCAGCTTGTAACAATGCTTGGGATTCTTCCGTCCCAAGTGCAGGACTCTGCACTTGTCCTTGTTGAACCTCATCAGATTTCTTGTGGCCCAATCCTGCAATTTGTCTAAGTCACTCTGGACCCTATCTCTGCCCTCAAGCATATCTACCTCTCCCCCTAGCTTAGTGTCATCTGCAAACTTGCTGAGGGTGCAATGCATCCCCTCATCCAGGTCATTAATAAAGATATTGAACAAAACCGGTCCTAGAACCGAACCTTGGGGCACTCTGCTAGAAACTGACCACAATCCTGACATTGAGCCGTTGATCACTACCTGCTGGGCCCGGCCTTCTAGCCAGCTTTCTATCCATCTTACCATCCATTTATCCAATCCATATTTCCTTAACTTGCTGGCAAGCATATTGTGGGAGATCGTATCAGAAGCCTTGCTAATGTCAAGGTATATCACATCCACTGACTTTCCCATGTCCACAGAGTCAGTTACCTCATCATAGAGGTGTTGAGAGGGCCACATCTGAAGAAGGGATGATAGAACTGCAAAACAACAATATTCTAAAAGCGAAACATAAAGAAGAGGACACTGAAACATTTTGGATGATCTATGTACTCTGCATTAATGAAATGTGTCAAAAAAGTGCTAACTTGCTTTGGGTCTACATATGTCTGTGAAAGTTCATTCTCCTCCATGGAAATCATCAAGTAAAAAATGCACACCTGTTTTACTAACAGACATCTGATCTACTGTTTTCATGCTGCTACAACAGAATACAAGCCTGATGTGAAACAGCTGGTGAAAAATTTGCAGACACAACCTTCACATTGATTGTACTTATACTCCAGTAAAATCCAGTACTGTATTGGCAGGTTTTTTTTATTTGTTAAAATTGTGAAGCCAAAACAAAAAAGTAGTCGATATAATGTGTATGTGTGCAGTTGACTGCTTACCAGCTTGTCCAAAATATCATCCATCGTCTTGTTCTCAATAGCCACACTTGACACTTGCCCAGTGACACTAGAGGGGAGGAAGCACAGTTGGCCATATACATATTTAAAGAGTGTCATTCTAAACTATAGAGGATTTGGTGGGGCCATTGTGCACACATTTTCCCCTCTTACCCAAATTGTTCTTGTGTTTAAGGAAGGGAAAATGTGTGGACACAGAGGGTCAAGAGGCTTTGGAGGAGGCTGAGCAGTTTTTCACTGTGTTAATAAGAACATGCTGAGAGTTCGGCAGGTCCCTATTTCTAGCTTTTCATGTGTAGTTTTGCTACAATGAGTCTTTTACACATAATGTAGCTAAGTTAATGGTTAGATTTACATGTTTTTTCCTTAATTTCTCCCTTCCTCCCCCTTTTTCATGGGGCACAACCCATAAAAATGGAACCTGTCACGAAACATTCTGGACTTCCTGCTAACACAGAGTAACAACATTAGGTCCACAACTTCAAATTTCCTTCCTTTGCTCCAGCTGCCCATATATAATGATTTCTTGCATCTGCCAGCTACCCAATATGCTATCAAACTAAACAACCTGTTTGAAATAGGTTTCAGAGGGGTAGCCATTAGTCTGTTTCAGCAAAAACATGGACACACTGCTACTGGCTTACAAGTTGCCATTCTTAGTCTATGTCTACACTGGGAAGATTTGGCAACGAAACTGCTGTCAACATGAAAAAGTTGCCAAAACTGAACATTTGTCAAATCTGTTTCTCTGCCACCCGTTGTCAACATATCATGGCCACATTGTTAGCTTATGTCTCGACAGAGCAAAGCAATGTAGGTAACATCCCACAATGCCTGGTGGCTGGTGTCATCTTCAGTTGCTAAGCACTGTGGGAATGTGCAATGTAGTGGTAGGCATTTTAGGAACATTAAAAGTGTCCCATTGGCCACTTATTTGCTTCTCAGCCCTCCCTGGGCTGTCAGCTTACTTTCACACCACTCGAATGACAGTTCTTGCTGCAAACTCCAGCATCTGCTCTGAAAAATCAGGGATCCTAGACTTCTCTCCTATGTTCAATTTGTTTAGAACATTGCACATTGCAGCAGAGCTGCTTACACAATTAAAGCAGAGGATGAAGACTGAGAAGTGGATGACAATGTGAGCGATGGGGATAGCAGCAAAACTGAATTGCATTGTGCACAGCAGAGCATCACTTTTGGCCTAGGGAATCCAGCACTGAGTGGTGGGATCACATTACCATGCAGGTGTGGGATGAAGGCCAGTGGTATAGAACTTTCAGATGCATAAAGCAGCCTTCCTGGAGCTTTGTGCTGAGCTGGCCCCTGGAGGACACCCAATTGAGAGCTGCTCTCTCGGTAGAGACACATGTTGTGATTACTTTGTGGAAGCTGGCAACTCCTGATTGCTACCGTTCAGTTGTAAATCAGTTTGGAATGGAGAAGTCTACAGCTGGGGCAGCATTTCTGCAAGTGTACAGGGCAATAAATTGTACTTTGCTACATAGCACTGTGACTTGGGGAAATGTGGATGACATAGTGGCTGGTTTAAGAAAATGGCTTTCCAAACGGTGCTGGAACAATCAATGGCACACACAATGTCATTATAGTGCCACCCTACCTTGCCTGAGAATTCATCAATTGTAAGGGGCTCAACAACAGGCTTATCCAATGCTTCATGGCTGCTGAATGTGCCTTTGGCCGATTGAAAGGGAGATGAAAGTGGATCTGTGAATGGCGCTGACATTTCTTAGTGGTGGGACTGCTTCCCTACCTCATTCCACCACTCATGCCTGAGCAAGGCATTTCCATAAGCCCCCAGGGACATTTAAGGCTGCTACAGGGGCCAGAGCAATCGGTGTGGGTTATGTCACACAATATAAACTCATGGAAACCTGCATCACATTTGTTTTTATTGATGTCTTTCAATCAGGATGCTCAGTGGTAAGGAATAATAAGGGCTGCTGGAAAACCTCACAATTGTGTTAATGTCCTGCTGTCAAAGTCACCGTTGCTTTCACAGGATGCAGGAAAAAAACCCATTACCTGAATGTGAAAATGAGCGTGTGAGCATAAAGGAGGGTTGCTGGATAAGGAGTTTTGTCTGCTCGGCCATGGAGGCTAATGTGTGGGCTTGGACGGACGGTTGCTGTGAAAAGAGTTCTGCACGACAGGAAAGCCTTTGGTTCTGTTTCCTTTGCTTCTTGATAACTTTGACACTTCAGCATCTCATTTTGGTCGTCCGTGAGCTTAACATGAGCTCCGTGCTTTCTGGTTTGACTTTTATCTCCATTGTTCTTCTTTGCTCTCTTTTCTCTGTTTGAAGCATTGAATGATGCAACACATCCTTGATCAGATCCTCCAGTGTCCTCTGAAATTTTTTTCCCTTAGTTGACGGAGTCTGTTGCTGGTGCATGTGCCTGACTTCTCAAGGTCTGGTCTGGAAAAGTAACCATTAACAATGGAGTGACTGTACTTTTCCTGATAAAGATTGTAACATTTCACTAACATGCATGTCTCTGAACAAAACTTGCCACTTTTCTTGTTATCTCAGAGGGAAACACAGATGTCTTTACACACAGGCTGCCGTTACTCTGGCTGACATATCCAGGAAGGTTCACAAGCAAACCCAGGCTCAGCTTCTGGATGAGAGTGGGGAGTGCCCCTCTCCTTATGCAGCCAAACTCTGTGATGCCTGGTTTCTGGCAGCACAGTATGAGGAATGGTTTGGGAGAGCATTGTACCATTGGTGATGGGGAAATAGCAGCCCTGCCTTGGAAACTATGTGAGAAAATTAATAAGTACAATAGGCAATGCTTCAACTCTATTTCTCAGCAAGATTCTATTGATATCTCTGTGTGCACTGATGCTCCGTTTGGACATTACACAGACCCAGGCAGAACTTAGCCAGCTCACAGAAATACAGCCTCTCGTCACCACTCACCGCCTTCTCCCCTACCCCCAGCTGCAACAGCAACTTCCTACCCCACCCCACTGCAATACACAGCAACTTACCACCCTGTACTGCCCTCCTCCCCCAAATGCACTAGAACAACTTATGACCCCAAAAGGCCACTGCCTCCATCCCGCAGCTGCACTAGAGTAACTTACTACCCTGCATGGTCGTCACCTGCACTGTCCCCCCCATCTGCACTTTCATCTCTTCCTTACCTTCATGCTCAACATATGGTTGCTGAAAGTCCTTACAAACATCAATACTTGAGAACAATTCCTCACTGTCTAGTGCACAGGTTGTCACCAAATTGAGCCTAATCTCCTCATCTGCTTCCATTTGTTCATCAATAACAGGAACAGCTTGGCTGCGTCTAGACTGGCATGATTTTGCGGAAATACTTTTAACAGAAAAGATTTTTCATTAAAAGTATTTCCGCAAAAGAAATACGTCTAGATTGGCACGGATGCTTTTACGCAAAAGTATAGACATGCCTTTGCGCAAGAAAGCTTCGATGGCCATTTTAGCCATCGGGCTTTCTTGCACAAAAAATTAAGGTGCCTGTCTACACTGGACCTCTTGCGCAAGTATTCTTATCCCTGTGCAGGAGCGTCAAAGTATTTACACAAGAAGCACTGAATTCTTACATTAGAATGTCAGTGCTTTGGCACAAATTCAAGTGGCCAGTGTAGACAGTTGGCAAGTTTTTGCACAAAAGTGGCCACTTTTGCTCAAAATCTTACTAGTCTAGACGCACCCCTCCTGTTTCTGACTCTATACTAAAGGAAGTATCCACGTTCTCCTTCGGTGTGGACGTAGATAGGCAAAAATCTTCAAAAATAGATTGCAGTGTGAAATTGCTGAGCTGGAATTCATGTGCAAATTGGACATTGTAAAAAGAGGTTGAAACAGAAACATGGAATGGCTCTAAGTAATTTTCCCTTCAGGTACTCTTACCATCTCATCATTGCTAGGTGAGCCACACCTACGCTGATTTAATTAGCATTATTGTTACACTCCCATCTGCATCCCCTCCTTTTTTCTTTTTCCTTATGCCCTAATAAATTTGTTAGTCTTCAAGTTGTCATTAGGCTCCTTGTTGTTTTTGTATGAAACAGGCCCTCATGCATTATGAAAGTTAATCTCCACTATATGGAGCTGAATTAAAACTAGTATATGCTAGAAACATTTTTTATGCAAGAGAATTTTTATTGGCTTTCTATTAATGAAACAAAAAGTCCAAGTAAAGTATTCTCAAGAACCGTGCAGTGTTGTGAGTGTCTGAACATTATGCAGGACTTATATGTGCATGTTTGGCTGCCAAGATTGCAGAGCATTTGTGTATGAAGTATGGTATATACAATTATGTTGTACTGTATGTGACAGAACCAGACCTGCTGGCTGCTGCATTCTAATGGAGGGCAGGTAGGCCGGGCTCTAGGTAAATAGTTTTCTCTTTCCTGAATAAACTCCCAGAGATTGCTGCCACGTAATCAAGGCAAGCAGGCATCTGAGGCTAGTTAAGAGCTTGCCTGAAGCAGCAGGCTAATCATACACCTGCAGCCAATTAAAGCCTGTGGGACTGTTTTAAAAGATTTCCCCCAGTAAGGAAGGGAGAAGGAAAAGAGTGAAGGACTGGGAAGAGGAAGTGCATTGCTGGAGTGGGTGTGTGAACTGCGGACTGACTTGCTCAGGTACCAGAAGAAAGGTGCTAGGAGGGATCATTTGGGGAAGTGATACAGAGAAGAAGCTGCTAGACTGGGCATAAAAGGAACCCTGTCTATTGCTGCTGCCTTAGGGTCTGGGGCAACCCAGAGTAGTGGGCTGGCCTGGTTTCCCTTCAACCCTCCACACACTACTACAGAGTCTGCCCCCTGAGAGAGGAGACAAGAACTATGAAGGGGTTTTCATCTCCAGTTGTGCACTAGTCTATGATGAGTATGGCTCAATAAGCTGTGAGCCTTGCCTCTAGATAAAGAAGAGGTTGTGTGGAGGGTGACAGCAACAGTCTGAGCAACACTGTCCATCAAAAATACAGGACCCACAAGGCCTGGTCAGAGCTTTGCCACATGTAGAATAGCATAACTATAAATTGAACAGATTTTAAATTAAGATATAATATTTACTTTTGTTTTATTGTCCTTAATGTTTCTTCTCATTATAGAAGGAAACATTTTGTTGAAATGGTGACTAAAAGTACTTTTCTTATTATGTCTTTGGATTAGAAGGAAGATGTTACACAGCTGCTCCTCATGGCCTAACTAAATTGGATGTGCTGTACTGACCTTATTGCTATAATTCTCCTCTGAAATGAAACCATGTTAGCAGTATGAATTGTTTGCTATGGCTTCCTAAACAATGAGCGGTATTATCCATTAATCTTATAACTTCTTTTAAATTACAAAATTACTACAATAGTTTAACAAATTTGACATTCTGTTTTGGATTTAATTTATCCAGTAGTGCAAACATGTTTGACATCTTAATACTAAGAAAATGCATACATGTAGGGCATCTAAGTTTGAAGTTTTGGATTGGTGTGTTTTTATTTTGGCTTAAAAATTAGTTGATCGGCATTAGCAATATTAAATTCTATCCACCCCAAACCTAAGTACATCCATTTTGGATACACAGAACCCCAGTCCTTTGTTTATATACTAAATTATTTACCTTTTGCTGGTAAATGTGGGGAGGAAGGGCAAACTAATGTGAGTGACACCAAGAAGAATTCTGGCTGATTCCACACTGTCCTTGTGGAAAAAGTGAAGCATTCACTCCCCCTCTTGTTGGCCAGTTCCACTCAATTGTGCTATCAGCAAAAAGACAGAAATAATGGCCAATTAGCCATGAATAACCCTTGTGAAAGACAACTGGATTAATGTGTCCAAGCAGATGGTAGAAAATAAGCCGCATTCCCCCCACCCTTCTTCCTTAGTGGAAGAAATCCAATGGCAGCAATAAAGAGTCTGCACAAAATAAAATTTTGCATCTGCTACACTGAGAAAATGCTTATTTGTTCTATAAAAAGGCAAACTCCCCCTTTCTAATTAAATATGCATGTACCAGATTGATAAAAACATGGCAGCCTTTACTAACTTACAATGCTAAGGTTTATTTTTTGCTTGTTTGGGGATTGTATACACTTTAAAGAGATGTTACAACAAATGATTAATGAGACAGCATCATATAAATCTTCCTGCAACCAACTGAGCTTAGCTAGCTATATAAAAATATCTTTAGGGACCATTCCCAGGTACAAGATATCACTATACTAAAATGATATGGTGGATTGAAATATTAATTATTTATCTTTCAGCATTTCTGGGCAGAACAGCATTACCTCCATTTTCTGATGCATTTTAAAAACTGCCAATTTCTTCTGTAAGAGCTATCCAGTAATCATGCATTCTTTCCAATCAAATAATACTGCTTTTTATTCCATAATACCTAGAATGCATACTCAGATTCCTACATGTCCTGATTTTTTTAACTGAAGTTCCTATGGTCCTGATGCTGTTCGTGTTGAACAAGTAAATGCCAAACCTCTCATTGGTTCAGTGGTTCAGGAACAGTCTTTATAGTCTGTAAATTATGATCCCAACATTTAAATTTCCATTTGAATTAATTTGTTAAAGAAACCACTTCTGCATACTGTAGAAAAATGGAAACCGTGTGATGGTGTATTTCATATTCTTTACGGAAACACGCTTAAGGATATGATCATGCTAACTAGAATATGCTTTATGCAAAATATCCAATGTAAAATATTGGAAAGCTTGTAATCCACTGAATATGTTTATTATATTTATATGCATGTACAATTTCTGAATACTAGGAATATTGATGGTAGACTTATTATCCATATGTTCATGTTGGAAAAAGCCTATTGCCAGCCCATCAGGAGCAACAATAAAGAACTTGGACTCAGAGCTAATAGCCCATTAGTTAGAGATAAATGAGGCGGGGAGAACTGTCATCCTGCCAGCTATGCCACTGCAACTGGTTTGGTCATAGAGATCCCCTTGGAACTGTCACTTCATGTGCTGAAACACCTGTGAGCCTGCCTATCTGGCCTCTGTAGTGTTCCACTGCACTGTCCTGCTGAGCCAGACCCTCGGATCTCCTTCAGTGATGGCACAGAGTTGGGGTCACAGCCTACAGTAGAACAACAGACATCGTCAGCTCAGCTTTGAGATGGCTCAGTTAAAGGGACAGGACACAGCATCAAGGTTCACAGATCCAATGGGACCAGAACCCAAGATAAATCCTCCTTCCTCTGTATAAAAGTTTTATGCGGAGCAAGCTTATGAATTGTTTTCCCTTTTATTAATGAAAGTGGGATTTGCACAGCTGTTGTCCTCCTGCAGGTCACAATTATTTATGGGTTTATTAATACACAAGTGATTTTATTAAGTATGAAATGTAGGATTTAAGTAGTTGCAATTCAGAGGGTATGTCTACACTACAGCGCTAATTCGAACTAATTTAGTTCGAATTAGTTAATTTGAACTAAGCTAATTCGAACTAACGGATCCAGACTAAAAAACTAGTACGAATTAGCGTTTTGCTAATTCGAGTTAGCATGTCCACATTAAGTGGACCCTGAACCGGGGTTAAGGATGGCCGGAAGCAGTGCAGGCAGGGCATCAGATTAGGACTTAGAGCGTGGAGCTGCTGCCTCAGGCTAGCCGAGGGCTGTGCTTAAAGGGACCTGACCCCCACCCCGGACAGACAGTTCCCAGGGGTGCCCTGCTTGCAAAGCAGTCCTGGCTTGGAGTGACCTGAGTGCCCACACGGGGCACATCACAGTACTCGGCCATCAGCCCGGCTGCACTTGCCGCAGGCTGCCATCTGGGGAGAGGGGGCAATTGGGGGGCTGCAGGAGAGCTTCCACCACCAGAACACGGCAGAGCCAGCCCAGTCCTCCCCATCGGGGGCTCGTACCCCATTCCTCCCTCACCTCCTTCCACTTACCCTTCCCTAGCCCCCCTTCTTGATGTACATCCAGAAATATAATCTATGCTATCATGTGCCGAAAGTGTCCGTCTGCTATGTACATTGGACAAACATCTCAGACACTTCGCCAAAGGATTAATGCCCACAAAACAGATATCAGACAAGATCACAAAGAGAAAACAGTTTCTTGCCACTTTAACCAGAAAGGACACTCTCTAAATGACTTAGCCACCTGCATTCTGCTACAAAGACCTTTTACATCTGCACTTGAAAGGGAATCCTCTGAACTGTCATTCATGTTAAAATTCAACACTTGCCAACAAGGACTTAACAAGACTTTGAACTTTCTCACCCATTACCAAGACAGTTTCCCCAATTATCACCTGTAATACCATTAACTCACAAACATCCCACTCTCCCTACCTTTAATATCAGCAATTCACAGACACTTACCTTCCTTCCTCCCCCTTCCCACCGCCCCGCATTCCCCTTCTGTTCTGCAATGTGATTTGTCCTTTTCATATTTGTTCATTTTTTTTAATTGTATCCTTTGGTATATATGGTTGTGACTACTTTCTTCCACTATTTGATCTGAGGAAGTGGGTCTGGCCCACGAAAGCTCATCATCTAATAAACCATCTTGTTAGTCTTTAAAGTGCTACATTGTCCTGCATTTTACAAAGAGAGGTTTTTAAAAAAATCCAGTCATTCTTTGTCTTAAGAAACCTGCGGGAGGAGGCACTGTAATTCTTCATATATGTGAAGGGCTGTCATAAAGAGGAAGGCAATCAGTCATTCTTCATTTCCAATGAAGGTACAATAAGAAATAATGACTTAATCTGCAGCAAGACAGATATTAGGAAAAACTGTAAGAGTAGCTAAGCACTCAAACGGCCTTCTAAGTAGGGTGATGGAATTCCTATAATTGATGGCTTTTAATAAGAGGTTGGACAAATCCCTGTCAAGCATGGTCTAATTTACTTGAGCCTGTCTCTGAGCCAGGACTGGACTTGATGAGATCCCAAAAGACTTTCCACCTTTCATTTCTCAGACTCTATGGCTGGATCCAGCTTCCCATGGGATCCGGATCACTTTGTATCAGTGACCTCCTTATTATTTAACACTCCTCAATCTTTGTTTCATCTACAGACTTTATCACTGATAATTTTTCCCCCCAAAGTTTTGATAAAAATGTCAAATAGTGAGGGTTAAGAATTGACCCTTGAAGAATACCACTGGAATCACACATGCTCATACAGTTATCTACATGCTTCCAGCTCCCATCCAGAACACACCACACGTTCCATCATCTATAGCCAAGCCCTTCGATGCAACCGCATCTGCTCTAATCCCACTGACAGAGACCAGAAGCTTCAGGATCTCTACCAAGCATTTATAAATCTCAACATGCTTAATGAGTGTTTTTTCTTTAAAATTACATTTTTTGACCAATCACTAATTTTTAATTCATGTAATATGCTCTATATTGACTTTTTATCATTCTAGCTTATTAATGACAACATCACATAGGACCAAATCAAATGCCTTACAGGAGTCTATTACATCAAGACTATTTATATTTATTAATTGAATTATATTCTCATCAAACAATGGATCAGTGTAGTTTAAGGTCTAATTTACATAAACGCACTGTGATTGCAATGAATTATATTACCTCCTTTAATTTTTTATTAATTGCATCCCATTTTACACATTCTATAATTTTTCCTGGGATATGTCACTTATAGGTTGACAAGTCTATAGTGTCCTGTTTACTCTTAATTAAAAATTGGTACAGAATTAGCTTTCTTCCAGTCCTCTGGAACTTCACCAGTGTTACAAGACTTACTGAAGCACAAAGTCAGTGGTCCAGAGAGCTCCTCATATAGCACTTCTAAAATTCTTGAATACAAGTTATCTTGATCTGTTGCTTTAAAAATGACTAAGTTTACTAACTGTTTAAAATCTTCCTTAATTACTGTTGGAATGCAAACATTTCATCATGCGTTCAATAGAACCTTTTTAATCAAATACTGACCAGAAATATGTCTTGGATACTTCTGCCCATTCTGCATTATTATTGATAAATCTCTCATGTCATTCTAGTAGTATACCAATACCATTGTAAAATTCCTTTTGTTCCTGATATACTTTAAAAACTCATTTTTATTGTCTAACTTCACTGGCTATAGATTTCTTCTTGTGCCCTTTTGCTTCCTTTCCCAATTTTTCTTCTCCTCCACTCCCATTTTCACAGCTCTGCACAATTTTGTTATTACCTGTAAGTCATCTTAGATTTATTTCTGCTCCCTGTATTGCATTAACCTTGTCTTGTGATTGGTCTGTCTGCCTCTTCCTGCTATTCTTGACTTTATGCCTATGTTTTAGCAACCCTTACAATTGGGTTATGAACAATACTCAACATTTTTTCCTTCAAAGCATTACTAAAAACCTGTGCAGCTAGTGTGAAATAGCCATACCTTACTCTTTGGGAACATCTACACTGCAACACTATTTTGAAATAACTGGTGCTATTCCAAAATAACTTAGTCTGCATCTACACAACAGGCAGATATTTTGAAATAATGTCAAAATACTGTCAAGCTGGAGGACTTCTTACTCTGACTTCCATAACCCTCATTGTACGAGGAATAAGGGAAGTCAGAGGAAGAGTGCTCTATTTCAAAATAAGTGCTGCGTAGATGCTCCCTATTTCGAAATAAGATATTTCGAAATAAGCTACGTAGCTCAATTTGCATAGCTTATTTTGAGGTAACCACTACAACGTTGACACACCCTTTGTCTTGTGTTGGTCTATATTGTGCTGATTTAAACTTCCATCTATAAATTTCTCAGGGTACAGACAATTTTTCAGCTCATTTGCAAAGCTCTAATCATAGTCACTTAAAAATAACTAATAAG